CTCATCTGCTGAAGACAACATCATGGTAGAGTGAACCTTCTCGTCTTGTTGTGCAAACTCAAATTCAGCCTTTCACAAGCCTTGTTGTTTTAGGAGAGCTCTCATCTTTATTCTTCATAAGCTGAAGTTATTCTTTCCTGTAAACTTGTCTATCTTGATCATTTGTGGATGCATTTTCTGGAAATCTTGAAAGAACTATGGTACAAGATTCAATGTTGAGCAATCAAGAACAAAGATCCAGACTAATCTTCAAAAGAGTTGACAATTTCTTAGTTGGCTGTTAAAAATGGGTAATCCAAAAATTGATCCCCAAAAAACGACCATTCAAGAAATCAAAACATCAAGGTTGACTACTGGACACAAGTCGATACCAACAAATGAAACACTCAACGACGAAATTGATTGAAGAAGAATAAATTTAGACCGATGAATTTTAGAGATTTGACTGTTGATGTCGTTTTCCTCAAATTGACTGCTGAAAATGGTCAATTCACACCATCGATTTCAGAATTGTGATAAATTCCACCTTGACTCGAACACCAAAATAGACCCAATCGATTGCCCACAGAAGGACGATTAACGAAAGCGATGAAGCGACTGAAGGGTTTAGCGATCATCGAATAAAAGGAACCCTAGGCTCTGATACCAGTTTGTTGAGAAAATTAGAGAAAGCTATGTAGAGAGAATGGAAGGAATCTTATTTACGAAATTGAGACTAGCTTTGCAAATAAGGATAACCCAACTATTTATAGGTAACAGCCAAGATACGCAAAACAGAAAATAATAAAACTAACTATTGAATTTCAATTAAAGCCACATCTTACACGTAGCAATCCGAAACGACAGAGTGTACATGTCAGGACAGGCGTATTTGGATCTGAAAGCGAGTAGGTCTTCTCCCGTTCTCTCGTTCTGGTCTATTGGCCGGTGGAATTGTTGCTGATTTTTCGTTGTTGATGTTGAACAAATTACTAGATGCTCCAACCCGTATAAGTTATCGCTATAATTCCTTATTATCCTTGTCTTCATCTCCATAAATCTCATCTTCTTCATAATCTTCCGTCTTCTCTTTCTTCATGATCCGCAATTCGTGTTTTAACGAACTCATCGTTGATTGCATTGAACCGAGGGTTTCCAACATCTTTTTGGTTGTTAATAGCACATTCTTCAAGATCTTCTGCTCTGATACCATTTTGATACACATTACAGTTCAAGAAATCGAATGGTTTGATAGAAGATATAAAGAATGGTTACAAAATTGCTGGCTTTCAAAAGGCGAGTACTCTCTCACCCCTTATTTATACTTAATACCACCGACTTACTAACCAAGCATTGCCCACTTGTACCATAGCACTAATTGCTTGTACTTTGCTACCACAACCTATTAATTTTGACCCTTTGACACAACCTACCACTATTGGCTATAACAACCCACCAAATTTTACTACCACCAAGGAGATTACAATACAAAGACCTTTAGATTCAAGATCAACCAAAGCTTCAAAATATAGCCAAGAACACATTCACCCTCATCTATACTATACTATACTATAAAATAAAAGGAAATATCTAAACCACAAGGGTGGTGTCTGATTGGTTTGACCTTGGGCTCCAAAGGTCAAAAGTGCCTGGAGGTCCTAGGTTCAAATCCAAGGAGGAATAAAAATCCCCTTGTGGCCATGGAGGTTCAAATGCGGTGACTCCGGGCTACCTGCTTACTTTGCAGGTGGTCACCCTGAGATTAGTCGACTCACATAACGGGTTGGATATCCACGTTCATAAAAAAAAAGAAATATCTAGAGAGAGTGAAAGTGATATAGTGTGTTGAGGAAGCTAGCAAAACAGAACAAATTGGAGTGGGAGAGGGACTTCCTGATACATTTTTACCAAGACAAAATATAAAATTTCACAATCATATATGGTATTAAAAGTCTTGTAAATTAAAACAACAAAAATATCTTAAAATGACAAACTAACATACAAAATCCACTTAAATGGAATCATTCTTCTCTGACATTGTTCGAAACAAACTCTTCAACAGGTTCTTCACAATCAACTTTCTCCAATAACTCATTAAATTGAAAGCTATGCTGTTATATCGGTCAGAATACGAAATATCGGTYAGGACCGATATTCGATATATCGGTGATATATCGGTGATATATCGGAAATAGCGGTTAACATAATATTTCTTAGAATTATATATATAATATGCATTAATTAGAGTTTAGAAATATAGTTTCAAAATTAAAATAAAACATCACATCATCTAAAGTGTTCAAAAACAAGCTAATCGCAAGCAATAGGTTCGGCATCCGAGTCAATATCATTCAATACATTCACTTCTTCATTTAGGTTAGCTTCCCAATCTTCCTCTTCTTCCCCTTCATCTCCAACATGATGATGATGATCATCATCTCTATAGCGCTCCCTTTTACTTCTTGTATTTGGTCCAACTTCTTCATTACCTCCCATTGCTTCTCGTACATCCGACCAAAGGAGGCCATCTCTTGCATCCACAAACTCTTGGAGCTCAACATCGGTTGGAACCACCCAATCATCATTTTCTTCAACATCTCTCAAGAAAATAGGATTTGAAGACTTGCTATCCTTAAGAGATTTGTAGCGCCTCTCCAATATCGCTAAAAATCGCCTCAAAATATCGCTAAAAATCGCTAAATATCGGAAAATATCGCCGATAATATCGTTCCCGATATTTGAGTTCCGATATTTTTTCTAGGAGCGATATCCGATATATCGCGATATTAACAGCATAGATTGAAAGATTAGCATATAGGAGAAGTTTACTGGTTGTTGTTTACCTCGAGTTCCCAAGAAACCCTAGCTCCCTCAACTCTCAACTTTTCTGTGTGTTGTAGTGCCATAAACAATGAGAATTTGTATCATGACGAACGATGTCAATCCAAATGCATGCGAGGTTGATCGTCGAACAAGAGAGAGAGAGAAATGGAGAGCCATAATGAGGAAGATCATTAAACAAGGTCGTGCTTGGTGATTCAATCATAAAATTAATCATTGGGAAACCAAATATGAATGGGACTAGCATACTAGTAGAACTCGATCTTCAAATCAAAGAACTAAGAAGGAATTGCAGAATTTGCAGCCATAATTATGAATCGACGAATCGGCAAATTTGGTAGAAGAGGGAAGGGATTGGGACATTGGGCTAAATTGATAAAACATTATAATTGTCCAAATGGGCTAAGATAAAGGGAGAATGCCGAAGGAATTGAACTATGGGCTAAAAATCAAAATATATATAATTGGGCTCCAAAAAAATTCCGAGGCCCCAAAAATTCTGGGGGACCTGTTCGGAATCTCACATTGGTATACCCTCCGTCCTGGCTCTATTGGGCGCCCAAAAGTTGCCAGCTGAAAAGGGCACATACGACCTAGTTTAGGCAGACTTGCACGGAATGGGCACAAGTGAAGGTGCGGGAGTCACTGTCGAAACGCTAGAGCGATTTTGGCGCTGGCACTATTCCCAGCTCTAGCCGTCCAACCCCAAAAAATACTTATTTTTCTTTTGTTATTTTTGTAGAACATCATATAACTGATCTGTTAATATCACAACATGATTCATTTGTGGAAGCCCTTTTCCCGACACCAAACGTCCCAAATATGCTAAGGGGCTGTTTATCAAAAAAAATTATTAAGTTCTGTATGGATAAATTTGTCTGTCTGGATAAACGGGTGTTGTTTATTTTTTTTTATCTGAACCAACAGTCTGAATAACATAAATGACCGATTTACCCCCAATATTAATTATTTGAACATCAAAACAAAAAATCATAAAGAGGCCGAAGATGGAGTGTCTCATATGGGAAGGAGGCGGTGCTTTAAATAAGGTAGGGGTGTCATTTTTGTTTCTGAATGGGGACAACAAACCATTTCTATCTGTGCGATTAAGCCGTAAGTAAACAACCCAAATGAGCTGTGCGAATAAGCCAGATAAACCAATAAGCCTAATTAAGCCGCAAGTAAACAACCCCTAACTCTTGCCGACCAAACTCACATTTTTTGAAGTTGGCATACAATTGGTTGTCTCGCAAAACCGCCAATACCACTTCCAAATGACGCTTTGTGCTCGTGTTCTTATTCATCTCTACTACACACCAATATGTCATGAAAACAACACCAATTCAAACTTTCGAAAAAAGGTGTTAATATTCGATTCATCAATGCTCAAGTGGCCGGAGCTTTCGCATCACCATCTCTGCAGAAAGCCGTCTTATGAATATATGTGTCTGCCATTCGAATCTAATGATAAAACGACTTATATCAAAACTTGGAGAAGATAAATTCCCCATATAACTCATCTAATAGCTCTTTTGATTACCGAAATGGGAAATTTATCTGGAACCATTCCAATAACTTAGGTCCTTTACTAGCAATGCCGGACTAGAAAATGAAATCTGGCTATGCAAAATAATTTTGGTTGCCATTCGGCCTTCTCATGTGCAACCATCGCAGAGCATCCGTCATCTTCAAAGGAAATCAGCCATTCCTCAACCTTCCTCTTCATGTTTGTGGTGATTTATGTCAAAATATCTCTTTGCTTGTAGAATCCATTCATCCATTGACTCGTCTACCCCTCGTCATATATTAGGTGAAAGATGTAGTAATAGTCTAACGTTCTCAGGTCTCGACATTATAGGACACGCTTGGATTGTATTAAGGAATAGAAATGCTTCAGTACCCAATATTTGGTAAATGGCTCATTCCATTAAAAGAGACCTAGCATCCCCAATTTTTTTTTATTAACCTGGATATCCAACCCGCTATGCGAGCCCACTAATTTCAGGACGACTACCTGCTTTGCAGATAATTCGGAGTCACTGCATTTGAACCTCCGTGGCCACAAGGGGATTTTTATTTCTCATTGGATTTGAACTGGGACCTCCTGGTACTTTTGACTTTTGGAGCCAAACTCAAACCAATCAGGCATTCCCTAAATTTTGAGTAAACATAAAAGTAAATGATTATGTTTCAATCACAAAACTTTATTAAAAAGAGACACCATTACAGAATTCCTTAGTAACTTATGATGGCCCAATTGTTTCTTTCTAAAGCTGTATCTGAATTTTGAGCACAGATCAATAATCTTCTTTCTTTCTTTCTTTCTTTAGCTTCTGCTGTGTGTCTAATAGATTACATTATGTGATTATGCAGCTGAAATGGGGTATATGCCATCACCACCGCCTCCATATGCTGCGTTGGAACGAATGCCTCAAATCGTCAGAGTAACACTTTGTTGTCCGGAGAAAAATGACGAAGCTGGGAAACTCATACGTCTTCCTGAAACCCTCCAAGAGCTACTGGATATCGGCTCCAAGAAATTTTCTATTTCTGCTACAAAAGTTATAACTAAAAACGGAGCTCTTGTTGAAGATATAAAACTCATCAGGGATGGCGATCATCTCATCGTTGCTACTGACGATTGGTTCTTTACCAAAACTTAGCCAAGCTGTATGTATGTATATCATGGTAAGAGTTATTATTCTTATCCTCTTACTTTTCGTTAGTAGTTTTAAATGACCGACCACATACATACATACCACAACGTTAGAAACAGATACGGATTCGTTATAGGAAGTAGAGTATAGCAGCAGCAGCAGCAGCAGCAGCATTGTTAAGATGTATTTATCTAATCTAGCCATAGATATATAGATAGATATCTAGCTTTGTTTCTCCATTTCAAATTCTTCTGTTTAGAGGATTTTATCTATTATGTACTTGTACAAACAGACAACCAGAATAGATATTATCAGATGAAGAGAAGAATCTTGTATGTTGTAATTATTATTACTAAAGCATCTCTCTATTCTAAATAGATAAGCATTATGTTGTATATCATGAGATCAAAAGTGTTGGTTACCTCTCCATAAATTAGAAGAAAAAATCAAAAATGTATCTTGCTTTGATAAAAGGTTTCTTGTAATTGCTGCTAATTTATGTTTAAAATGGTGTGCTTCCAACCTGGTTAACTTACTTTGACCAAAGAATCGTGGGTAGACGTACTACGAGTTAAAATCGGCTGCAACTTCTCTACGCCGGTGAACCGTTTTGTCGGTGAACCTGAAACAGTGTCACAGTTGCATTAGTTAGAGAGGTTAGGGTTCAGGAGCTAAAATATAAGGCAGCAGAGTTCTACGATAGATGGTTGTTAATCTTGGTCCTTTTTGCTCACACTTCTGCATAAGTTGGGGTTCTTTTTCCCTTCTGAGTAGAAGACAGGTCTACTCAAACCCTACTTTTAGGGTGGGATATATTGGTTTGGTTTGTATATGTTTTGAGAGAATGGAAGGTATTTTACTAACATGAAGCATCCTATCGTTGAAGCTTGCTCTTAGCTTCAACTCCCCTCTGTGTGTCGTCATTTCCTCCGTATTTACATGAAACTGCCTATCGTTGAAGCTGGATCTCAGCCTCAATTCGCCTCTGCGGGTTGTCAGTTCATCGGAACCAACATGAAATTGCCTGTCGTTGAAGCTTGATCTTAGCTTCAACTCGCCTCTGCGTGTCGTCATTTCGTCCAATATCTCGGCTGAGTCCATTTCGAAGTCATTCTCCATGCTTTCATCACATCCTTCCCTCTGTTCATCCAAACATACAAACATCAATACCTTTTAGTCTCAGATAAAAGCGTATATAATATATTTTGATATTATTAATATTAAATGGTTAAATGTGGAAGATGATGGTGTTAGGAAGATTCACATTCACCGAGGATGAAATAGGCGTACCCGGGAAAGACTCATGCTTTGAACTGGACGCCCCATGTATTCTTCGTACTCAGATGCATCTAGTTCCTGGAGATGTTCACCTGGAAACAACTTGGGAAGAACATGCTCTCGAATGGGTATGAGCAAGAAGAATGGCAGAGGAAACAATATCCCGCCTGTCGGTATCCATGTGATTCCATAACAAATCAAGAAATACACGAGTTGGAAGACCGTGAACTTTGTTATGTATTTGAATGGCACCGACTCCACGTACGATGCATGAAGCGATTCTAAGACTCTGCTCACACAACCCACAATAATATCAGTTTATAGGAACAAAACTTAACGAACCCAATATATCTCAAACAGAGGTAAAGGTATTAGGAGGTAGGATGTATGGTTGTATACAGAATTTAACTTTACACCCCCCCTCCCCCAAAGGGGTAGAGAGGCTACTTCTTGAATACCTCGGTTTGCAAAACAAGAATTAATAGGAAACAAGTGCGGTAAGTAGCAGAGAAATGTATGCAAACAAGCAACAAGTACCGTGTGATAAAACAAACTACTAAAGTGGGAGGAAAACTACGTTTGATGAACAATAAAAGCAAGTGGGGTGTGCACTGAGTAATCCGATCCAATTAGAACCAACCGACCAGAGTTTGATATCAAGTTGTAATTTGATCGGATCGGATCCAAAGTTTCAACTTCTAAATTGGATAAGTCGGTTCTTGTATTACATTCTAGAGTCCAACAAAACCGATCCAATCCAACTATCATCCATTAAATCACCATTATAATAAAATAAATATATATAATGAATAATATTTAACGGCGCCCTCTTCGAGTTTTTTATTTGTATGTAGTGTTTTTTAAGAAATTATGAAAATATAGTAGTTGGTTGGTGGATTAATTGGTTGAAACTGGATGGATCCAATCGGATCCGATAGATAACCGACTTTAATGTCCAATGGATGGTACTAATCCTATCTAATAATCCATTAGATTGATTTGTCCGTTGTCTACTCATTGGATTGGATCATGCAAATACCAACACTCAATGGACGATTGGATTGTATCAGATTCACCTAAATCAATTGGATTTCAACCTGTAACTCCCCTAAAAAGCAAGTAGAACTAAGGTTGGCATACAGTAAAAAACATGAAATACTAAGGCTGACAAACAATAATGGATCCCACAAGTAGATGCACAAATAAGATGTGGAAGATAAAAAAAACTAACACCGCCCTCTGTCTAACATAGGACTCTTGGTAACCTAAAACATGATATTCAACTTACCATAAGATTTCATTTTTGGAGTGCAGAGATATTTCAACTTACTTGTAACGTCGGCCAGCAGGGATGAAAAAGAGCAACAATCTCTCCCAGAACTGATTGCCAGGAAGACTATCAATGGACATGTAGGCAAAGTATCCCCACAGAACCGAGGTGGGTATCATTCTGATAGCAGGAATAGCAAAAACTGCAAGCCCCACAAGCATGGATTGCAGCAGATTCGTCACTCGTTGCTCGTTAACTCGGACAGGCAAATAAGCCTCTATATGCTTATCGGGATCAAACTTCCCTTTTGCATCTCCTCCATCATCACGATTCATTACAGCTTCCTTTAAGTTCTCCAATTCCTTATCCACAACACTCTGCAAACAAACAAACTCAGCTTTAATAAAAGACTAGGAACATGTTTTGTACCCTGCGAGTGAGTAAATTCCAAAAATTATACTCTAAATCCCATAGAAATGATCACAAAATTGTCTACAAAGAGAAGATACATTTGGATGAGGTTCCATTTCAACGAAAACGGCATGCATCCTCCCAAAGATTTCTGAGTTGCTTGCTTCCAGCTTTATGCCTTCCTTGGCACACTTCACCATCTTATTTCGCATCATCTATCATGACATTTAAGAATAAAAACCAACATTCATTCAATTGGATGAAATTATTTCGTTAAAAGAAATAGGAAGTTTGGTTTTGCATGTCTAACCTGTCTTTTGAGAACCGAAAGACTCCTTGTATGCATGGGTGATTGTGGGAGAACCCCGTTTGAAGGGGGGACGCCAATCAAACCACACATCAAAGTCTGAAATAACAAAGTGGCGGATAAGGCATACAATATTAGCAAACAAAACAGCTGCAATACCTAGGGTATAAAACTGAAATCAATGGGAGATGAACATGATTTAAACAAAATACCATGATCCCAAGCAAAAAGACATCGTAATGGTAAGCAGATGGGTTTTTAAGATTAAATTCCTTCTGTTGCGCCATTTGTGCAGCTACACTATGATCAAAAAAGTACAAGGCCGCTATCATCACAGCTGGTATTATGGCAGTAAAAACATGAACTGCTGGAACTTTTGCCATATCCTGCAGTAATACTATCATTCAATTTTCGATTGCTACCCCATTCAGATAGGGGAAATATAGTGTATTCAAAATGTGGAAGCCTATGTATCGTTGATTCGTTTCAACATTGTTTTCCTTGCCATTTTTTTACCTTGATGACCGTCCAATGTGATAAAGATCCAGCTTCCCATGGAAGAGGACAGACGAGCCTCCTTGGAACATCATGAGGAAGGTCTGCAGGCTTGGCATAAGATACTGCTGTCCACACCACGACCATGAGTGGAACCCCATAGTCTGCTATAAAACTTCGAAGCCACCCTGTACCAGAACAGTAAAAACTACATCAGATACCAAACAATAAAAATGGCACAAGAACCATTATGTTATTGCAACTCCCCATTTTGAGGCTGGCCCAGTAACCTTCAAATCAACTTAAAACCATGCTGACAATTTTGGTAGCCACAATTTTGAGATCACAAGGAGCTTACAAGTCTAATTTTCGACGGATTGTTATAGTTATCATTTACCTGTACCATAACGCCAAGACCTAGCACCTCTACTCTTCATGGCAGTAATGAGAATACCAAAGGAGAAAATGACCGCAAGTAGACCATTTGTATAAAGCCAATGAAACTGGTACTGCTCTGCTGTACCGTTTTCTCCCTTTGGGACACCAAATTCACTGATTACTCCCTACATTTCCAACATAAACCAAGTTGAAGGAAACAATCCCAGGCTAACCACACCCCACATAAGTAGCAGCTTTGAGAAAAGGGAAAACAAATGCATTTGCATACCCGAACAGCCTCTTGCATAAAAAGCACGGAGATCAGCATGCCAAAAAGCTCCCCCGCAACCCTTGTAAATCTTGTGATGAGCGTGCATGCATTTAGTATAGCAAGAATGCACAGCATAACAGCAGTCCATACACAGACCCTAACACAAATATAACAAAGATATCACCACAAATGTGATGGGAAAAGAACCCAATGCTTATTAGACTTAAAAGAATATAAGCTCAGGCTATGCATACCAGCCTGCCCATGCTAGAAACAGTTCCTTCCCCAATTCTGGTCTTCCTTTGGCAAAACCATACAAGTAATTGTACATTATTACGGTAGGTTCGGCAACTCCTAATATCAAAAGAGGCTGCCCACCAAAAATCGCGTGGATAATTCCACAGATAGCAGTAGAAGTGAGAGTTTCGACTGAACTTAAGGTTCCATCTGCCCTCAAAGAAAAAACTCAGGGTGAGATTGAGAGATCCCTGATCTTGAAACCAGATCAAACTAGACAACGGAAGACCACAAAAAAAAGAAGAACATCTGTTTAAACTGTAATGATAAAGCAGGTACCTGTATCCCTATTCAGCTGCTCACCGAATGCAATGACCGGAAGAGCGGAAGCAAAGAAGATATATGCTGTTGGAGCTAATATTCTGGAGGATTAGCAAAACAAATCAAATGACATAAAGCTGTGCAAGTACTCAATTCTCATATGCATTGCATTGTAAGTTGAAACCAAAGATAAGTAGACGAACAAGAGACCTCATTCCTGAACAGAGTGCCCCGATCCATTCTTGCTTGTAACACTGCAATCTCCCTTGAAAATCCTTCTTAATCCCGCTAAAGGGTTTTTTGTGGCGATCCATTGAACAGTGTTGGAACCAACTGCACCAGCGCTATATGAGAAGTGCAAAGAGACTTCTTTTCATGAAACCTAATAATAAAAAGTAAGTACGAATTTCTTTGCCAATCTGCCAACATTATAACAAAACCAATTGCTTTACAAGTTCCAGGAAGAAGACAACTGGGAAAAACCCAAAAGGACAAGGGTGTGTTTGGTGGAGACGTTAAAAATGTTATGATCCAATATAACAGAACAAAGTAAAATGATCAAATTTATTTTTAATGAATTATTTATTTTATATAATTTATTAAATTATTATAAAATAAATATTTTTTTTATAACAAAGTATATCATTTAAAAGTTTTCGTCAAAACAATTAAAATAACTACAAATAAAATTTTTATGTAGTTTTAAATTTTTATTTTTATTTTTTTATTAATATATAATAAATTATATAAAATAATAAAAATATAGAAACCGTTAAAGATAATATCTTGAAGACAGTAAAATGAAGGTTTAAGAAACATAAAATACAATAAATAAAATTTAAAAAATAATAAAATGTAATAAGAAGACATATTTGATATTTTAGAAGAGAATTAAGTTTTATTTTGAGGTTATATTGGTAAAATATAAGTTTGTTCCACCATGTCCATGAGATAGGGATAAAACAGGCATGTTTTACTTTGTTCTAGTCTATTTCATATAAAAACTAGTTGTGTACCCGTGCAATGCGGCGGGAGCTATGAATTTTAACGATTTTGAAGTTTCACTGGTTTTATAAGATAAGATTTAACGATGATATATGTTACACTTGGTCTTTACATATTAATACAATTTGAATAAATAAGAGCTATGGTTCCAATTACAAACTATCAATGAAAAAAATTTGTATGAAAATTTAAAATCCAATATATTTAAAATCCAACATATTTAAACGACTCCACAAATGTATTCGATTTACACCAAGAGCAAAGAACCAAGAAACTTGAGTTTTAAGATAAACACTCAAAACCAATAAAGAAAACTACAAATTTGACAGATCGTAATAAGCCATGAAAAGACAAAAAAAAATGGGTTTTAGACTGAAATTTCAACTGCTTACCATCTTTCTTGTCTAGAAACTTAGATTAAGGCTGAATTAATACATGTATATATATATTTAAAAAAGAACCCAAGAACATTTTTTCACAGTATATATAATATATAATAATATAATTAAGTCAAAAACTATTCAATATTGGACTCATTTCGAAGGTATTAACGTGGCGATTATAATGGTGTAACATGTTAAAATAAAAATATATTTTTTACATGTTTTAATTGATATACGATTATGTATGTTAATTTGATAAATGTTTAAAATGAAACATTTAAAAGTAAAAGACGTAAAGTAAATTAATTAATTAATTATAGAGGTATAAAGTGTAAATTTAAAATTATAATTTTAAAAAATTGTGAGAAGGTGAATGTATGTGAGGAGAGGAGGGGGTGAAAAAGTAAAAAAATGAGTATAAAAAGTATTTTGATCATTTAAAATTTTAAGACTTTTATTAAATTTGTTTAATAAGATAATATAGATTATTGAAACTCTCTATTGGATTCCACGGTGTTGATAAAAGGACAATAAAGGAGGGGGGACACCATACCGCGTTTGGTGGCTCAATTTCCACAAATAGTTAAGATGACAGTAAAGATGATAACAATAATAATTATTTATTATTGTTTTTTTAATATATAATTTTTATATAAATAAATAAACTTTTATACTCTCCTATTTTTGGTGTGATTTGTATCTCTGACTTCTTAAAAGATCAAAAACTTACATATCGCTAGATTAAAGACCCTTTGATTATTGTTGTTAACATGTTAAAAGATAATTACATATTACAGATGAATGGATCAAAATTACCAAACGACCGAGGCGTTGTTTGGGATTGCTCGTTTAAAACAACTTATGTGATGTCAAACTCGAGTCTTATAAAAAGATTTAGATTAGTTTATAATGGTATCAAAACATAATAAGTTAATAAGTTGTTTTCAGTGTTTAGTAAATTTTTATTCATATAAATTTAAAAAAAAAATACATTTTTCATAAATTTTGCTTATTCATATAAATTTAAAAAAATACATTTTTCCATATTATTTACTTATTTATTTTTTAAACGTATAACAGTTTATTGTAAGCCCAAGAATGACATTCTTCCCCAATTTTCCCCACCGTTTATAGACAATCATCATCGATAGAAAGCACATTCCTCCTCCACGCTTTCCCTATGCAGCCAAAGAGTTTCACAATTCCGAGATCCACGATTTCGAGCAAAACCAGTAGCCTCAACAGCAAATGATCGTTAGTATTTTCTCGAAGTAATAACACAAACAGTCGAAACAGTAGAAGTAACAGTAGTTGCAGCAGCGCTCGAACAAGCACTAGAGAAGGATCGTGTCGAAGGAAATTATCCTCGATCAATCAAGCCAGATCTGTTGCGATCAAATCGAAGAGCAACACGAGTGGTAGATCTTCGAAAAAGGAAGGTTAATTAGTGTTGTAACAATTATGGACATTCTCAAATATGGCAGTTTATTGCAGCGGTTCCGGTGTTGAATCGCCGGAGGTAACGGAAAGCAAGACGGTGGCGTGAGGAAAGGGATTTGACGGAGGTTTTTAGGGTTAAATAAAAAGGTAAAAAAAGTAATTTGGTTTTAAAGGTGATAAGTTATTTCATATAAGTTAGAAATGGAGTAACTTATCAAAAACTCCTTATTATAGGTTTGGTATCGATATAAGCATTCTTTTTTTTTTCCGTCCAAACACTAAAACTGCTTATTATCGGTACCACATCAAAATAATAAATAAAGAATTTAAAAGGCGAATGAGAAATTGACAAATGCAATTGAATATTCATGAAAAAATCAAACATATATTCTGAATGACAACCAAAATCATGTTTTTATCAATGATGAAAGAATGTGTTCTTTATGGAAACGCCCAAAACATAATAATGCAGTGCACATGCAAAACATTGGTCATACTAACAAACAATTTTTCTAGCTAAAGGACAAGAAAAACAATTCATGTCAGGTATTTTGTAACATCTGAAATTTTCGAGGACAGTGAACAAAAATGATGCATCGAGAGAGGATTTTTTTTTGTGAAAAATGATCTACATCTCCATCGCAGTTTTATGTCAATCAACATCGAAAATTGATTTCTATGCGTTAATTGTTCGTCAAATCAACAATTTAGGACAACACACACAAAGTATGTATGTACATGTGTGTGTGTGCATGCACATGAGTGCACGAGCAGCAACAAACATACGCAGTATAACACCCTAAAAAAAATAAAAGATGAATTGAACCGAAATATTTAACGAGAACCAGAACTTGATATAAAAATTCACCCAACAAAAGGGGTAATAGAATAGCGTTTACAATTCAGGTACTGGGAAGATAATTAACAACCTACTAATCTAGATTATTCTATAACTAGATTAAAGACGGGTGTTTCTATCAATCTCTAAAAAAAATACCATATCATAAAAAACGCAACGCTCAAAAGTAACAAAGGCTATAACTACAAAAGAGCCTTTCCACGAGCCAACGCTCCTCTCAACACTTTGAAGCCTCGCCGCAAAAGGAACCTGATATACAAGCCATATCAAGAAGAAGTGTTAGGCTTACGCCTAGTGAGTTCAAACGGTGAGATAAATAAGTCTATAAAAACCATTATATGTAAATATGCACGTAACGTAACTTTGAACAATACAAGGTGAACAATTTAATCCTAAATAACTTGAGATGGAGCGAAGACATCCGAAGATGACGGGGGAGACCCGATTTACCATTGATTATGACGGAACACGAAGTAAGTCATAGATCAACGCTATAGAGCATCACTTACCGGTATAAAACCATCGACATCAACCTAAACCAGTCATATAATCGGTCGTGATCATGAGCTCTTTATCTCGGTAATTACATAATAATCACAATGCCTATTACCGAGTGCAAGTGAGAAGATGATTTGGTGATTACATAATAATCTCAATGCCTATTACCAACTTACTCCATCATTCTCACGAATAAAATAAAACGACATTCACGTCTATAATTTCATTACATTCTAGTGACATATCCAAAACGTAACGTCTTTAGCATATACATATTTATACTTACTAAGACTATGCACCGACCCTTAGTGCAATGAAGTACTCACACCCGACCATACGAATTCAAATGTAGAGCATAAAGGTGTTAAGTGTCTTAAGACCAACAACACTTGAAATGGGTATTTTAACAAGTGATATATATATATATATATATATCTTCCCAAATTCGTTTTTCCAATATAGGCGGGATCTCTAATTTCGCCCTTTACCTAAAGAAATTTCCATTTCCAAACAACCAAGAATTTTCACCTATTTTAAGTTCGAGGTAAAGTGTAATGCATTCCTTTCAATGATTATAAAGTTCCTAATTTAGAATAGAATGAACTCACCTTGCTGCTGCCGTTGCTTCGGTCCTCTCTGCTGCGCGCGTCAAACAGTAGCTAGGACTGCCTCTGTTTTTCGTCTGCTGTGTGCGTCCAACAGCAGCTACGGCTGCTGCGTGTTCGGCCTTCTGCGCGCGTCTAACAGCAGCTAAGGCTGCTGCGTTTTCGGTACGTCGAGTGCTCCAAATAGCAGGTTGGTTTACTGCTTCGACTCCCGTCTACTGCATGCGCCAAACAGCAGCTAAGCTACTCCGAATCCCGCCTGCTGCATGCACCAAACAGCAGCTCGTTTGTTGCCTCGGTTCTCGCCTGATGCTTCGTCGAACAGCAGCTAGGCTGCTTTGATTCTGACTGCCAACGACCCAACAACAGCTACTGTTTCCTTCTTCAACCAGCAGCCCACGGTGTTTTGTTTGCGCCCAAAACAGCAACGACAGCTATTTGTTCAAGCCCGACAGCAGCTACGGTTGTTTTTCGCCAACCAGCAATCTTGCTGCTTCGATTTCCCCTGATACGCACGCCAAACA